GTGCATGAGATTACGCGTAGGTATCTATATATTGACTAATTATCTATGTTCACATAAATCGACAACATCGAACTATTTAAGCTTTTTTTATTATAGAAAAAACTTTAAATGGCTACACATCAATTTTACATAAGTGCAACACCGCTCAGGGCCAAAATTCACTCGTAATGTCTCTTTTTACAAAATCTTTTAAAGAAAAACCATATTTAGGAAATTTAGAAAATTTATTATCATTTATCAAATAATTAATGTTGGAAATTTTTCTTTGTTGGCTAACTACAATTTTGTTTAATAAAATTCATAAACGAATAGAGTACATTCCTGGATCTTTAAGCCAACAAAAGTAAATCTCTACCTATGTCGTTTTATTCCTGTATATATATACATATATAATATATATATTTTAATATTTTATGCATCCTATGTTAGTGTATAATATTTACGACATAGTTATTGAGGTGTAGATGGTATCGGTATGTAAAAGTTTTTATTGTTTTAAATTGATTAATTTACTTTTATATGCAGACCATGTTATACTAAGTAATAAATTAAGTCACTAATCTTATCGAATGTATTAATTAATTTCGTTTTTGAACAAAAATCATGAATATACAATTAGAAACATAACACTTACCTACTTATAAAAATTGCATATTCCCATTGATTTATCCCTTATTAAACTCTGTTATATGAAAAAATGCACAGAGTTATTTTGATTTAATTTTAAAAAAAGGTGTAAAATTATATCCAATCATAAATATTATTTTATTTACCAAGTAATTTTATAATGATTGTTATGAAAATCCGATGAAAATCGGTTTATACGTTTCAAAGTATTTTATATTATTATACACAGTCAAATGTATCTGTGCAATCAGTATATTGAATATTCATGCAATATATTATTTAAATTGTACGTTTATATTTAATCACAGCTAATATAAAATTTAAATACTTTTTATTTGGAATACGTATTAATTTGGCAATTAGTATTCGGATTTTATACTTATATAATATAAATTTTTTAAATTTCTATGTTATGGATAAATATACTTTATGTTCTAAAACAAGTATGCAATATGCGGATACATAATTAATATTATTCTTAWAATAATTAACATTAGTTTGTAAAAAATAATTCTAGTTATGATAAAAAATGTATGTGTACTGTTTCTATAAATCTTTCCCAATCCATATATTGAAATATTTAATATAGCTTTAAATTCTTAAATTAAGAGGACGTATCCAAAATATTCGTCTTACAAGTGCTCAAAACATAGAAAATGTACGGTTAGCAGATCACGTTTAGCTTCTTTTATTTAAAAATTGTAGTGTATCAATTAATTATGAAACTTGATGGTATAAGAACATTATCTGTATTTGTATGTAGGTTTTTTTTAACATAATTCAGTTTTTAAATGAGTTATTATGAGCATTTTTAATTTACGCTGTACTATAAACACAAAATTTGCAAAAAAAATTAACTATCTCAAAAAAACTCACATACAAACACTGATAATGTTCTTATCATCAAGTTTCATATTAGGTCGATTCACTCTAATTTAAAAGGTAACCAATATAAACGTGATCTGCTGAGCGTGAATTTGTATGTTCCCCACTTAGCAGACAAAGACAACAAATGCCCGTGTTATACATCCTCTCGATTAACTGAAAAAATTTGAGTTGTTAGGAAGGAAGCTCTATGGTGCACCTTTTCACACCGTATCAAGGGAAATATTGTAATTATCGATTTTTCAAAACAACGAATCTTGATTAAAAAAAAAAAATTATACGTTCATACCTATAACTATTAAAAGTTAAGAATTTACATTTCTGATGAAACAAGACGGACGAAAATAACTTTTTTATTCAATGGCCCCCTTTACGATTTGTTTTCTTTGCGGTGCATGACGTTTTTCTGCTTCGAAATAAATTCCACCGTTTCGATACGCGTATTTTATGCAAATTACATCATTCAAATAATTCTTAGTATTGTCACGGAAATATACTTGGTTTTCTCAGAACGAATGGCACTTTGACGAATCATTATTTGACGTCCCGAGAAAAACATTTTAATTATTAGTTAAATCATGATGGCCAGCTAATGTGTTTCTTGAACGGTTTTTTCTAAAAAAAGACTGGAGTTCATAAATACTATATGTTAATATATTAMTAAACCGCCACGGCGTGGTTTCACGTAGTTGACGAAACAATTAGCTGTAACCAATATAAACCGACATTGAAGATTTTAATAGCATTGTGAAATCAATACTTTAATATGTTATTGAAACGATGGGTTCTACGACATTTGAGCGAAAGAAATCGAGCGAACGTGAATGAGTGAATGAAAAAGAGCGAATACAAAATGAGTGATTAAAAATATAAGCGAAAACATATAGAGCGAAAAAATTAATATTATATACAGGTTTTTGAAATAATGAGTGTTGTTTGATAAAAGTATCACCCTGTGAATATTATATAGAGGTTTTTGAAATAATGTGTGTTGTTTGATAAAAGGATCACCCTTTATATRTTATTATATACGTTWTATATATTTTCGTCTTTAAACATTTTATATGAATACTAGCCCTCCTTGCTAGCACGAATATTATAACGATTYAATAAGATAACGTTTATGATCATTTGTCTTATCTGAGTCACTATATCTTCGTAGTGTATTACACTCGTACCTAGGTTGAATTTGTCATTTTAGTCGTCCGCCAGAGTATTCAGTCGCAACAAGGAAAACTTCATCTATACAGTTAAATAATTTTTTATATCGGAAAGAAAAAATACATAAAGATGTCGAATATTGGCGATGTATAGATAGACAAACTATGTACAGTTGTTTGAATTTAAAATACAAAAACAATTTTAAAGGCCTTTCCGATCATAATCACGTTGCCGATATAATTATAAAAATCAAGCGAAAGTAGTAGTCGAAAGTATTAAAAAGCGTGCCGTTAAAACTCAAGATAATACTGGAGTTATAATAAGTGAGTCGTCATCTTCTGTAGTTCCAATTGTTTTTAGTGCACTTCCATAGATCGCATATTTGAAACGTACAATTCAAAGAACGAGACAAAAAATTTGCTTAGCTCCACCTAATCCTAAAATTCTCGATGATTTACACCAATTGCCAATTGAATATAAATTGACCACACACTTATTTTAATTATATTATAATATTATATTTTTTTCGCTCTATATGTTTTCGCTCATATTTTTATACGCTCATTTAGTATTCGCTCTTTTTCGTTCGCTCATTTACATTCGCTCTTTTTCTTTCGCTCGATTATCGGGATATTGAAACGATGATAGAGAATAACATAGGCAAAATTTGCTCTGTCAATTCGATTTAACTCAGAACCGACGAATAGTTAACACTGTGCTATGCATGAGACTTARACATTCAATGCACGTGAATCAAGAGGGACATAATGTAATCTTCTAAACATCGCAATTTGGGTTGATCTATGTAAAACAATATAGACTCGTTGTTTGAGAACCAAAAAAAAAAAATCGAAATACATGTAAATTGTTCAGGAGAGAAATTTTAAATTTTAAACTAATACATATATAACTGTAATAAATGATTTTTAAATCTTAATTATTTTCAAATATAATAGTTAACGAAGTGTTCTACGTTAAGTCTTGTAATTTGTTATTTATTCTAAGCAAGACTTAAAGTAAAAAAAAAACACATGATAAGGTAAAAAATGCAGTTAACAAGTAACAACCCAGGTACAACAGAAAGAACCTTTTTGTTATTAATATTATTATTATTTTTTACTTGAACTTTTCCTTCAGAATTACATTTAATTTATCGGGGAACAAAACTAGGATATTTCGTAATGTTGAAACCAGAATAATATTTATTTTGTCGATATAATTARTAATATTGTAGGGTCTTTTGAAGTTATGATTAACACAATGAAATATGAAATAAGAGTTTTTGGTTACTCTTTTCACTAATTATTTTTATTACTCGTGGAGATATAGGATCACCTATAGGTTTTAAGTCGAACCACTATTATAGATGTAAACGAAAAAGTTCTTTTTAGATTTTATACAACTATTATAGGTACAGCAAATTTGTAAAGTAAGTATTTATTTAACGCCTTTAAGTTCTAGATAACTCTTWAACACGCTAATCGGCTGCATGGCAACACGGGGGTTTCTTAAAAAATAACTGATGTTAATACTATACTATTAAGATAMGATCTGTATGATTAATAGGGTTTCCTGATGYTTGATATTTTCGTACAGATATGTGAATCATATGGTTTTATTTAACGCAATTTTTCGTTTCAGATAACATCGTTGGCTTTTCAATTGCTATTATAACATTAAATTCCGTTTATATAATAGATCATGTTATATTTAATTTATTTTCTCGCAGTTTTACAAGAGGATAAACAATTTGACATGTGGTTGTTATCGTGTTATATAATGAGCCAATATAATTATTTGTGAGTTTGAATTACTACAGAGCATTATTATAATTAAATATACCTACATACATACTAAAAAAAACGGGTTTTCAAAAAAAAATTGATTTAGCATTACATTATTCATTGTGTTGTCATACACGAGAAAAACAATATTGTATTATTTACGCATTCAAACGAACGATTATTGGTTATAGAATTTATTACTGCATTATACTATTAAAATATTACGTTTAAAATTAATTTTAATACCTATTATTGGTAWTAGCATAATTTTGTAGAGTGATAGTACATCATTTTAATAATTTMTCATAAAGGTGAATGAACTAAACAATTATTTAATTACAAATTATAATATATATATATATATATATATTATAACACACGTCAAAATCCTTTAAATTTAAATACAAGATAATTCTTTAGTTACCTAGTCTTTGTATATAGGTAAATTACTGTAGTTAATAATTTTGAAGTAAWATATAAGCATACAATAATATCAATATATGATCTTGTATATGTAATGTAGTATTTTATAATTATTTAATGTCACCTTAACAAGTTCATCAAGTGCACGGGAAAGAAGCACAGTGCGAACATGACCACAACTGCCACCAACATTTTCGCCGCTTTCCTTCTGGCTTTTATTTGAGCCATCGTGCTCGTACATCCCATCGTTGCCGTCCGGTTGAACCCTGCAAAATAAACTTCCACGTGAGTAAATTCATATGCGTCTTGCACTTAGGTGGTTTTCCAGACTTGTTATAACTTGGTTTTAATTTTTTTTAAATAACATATTCCATCATACACGCGCACAGTTACGAGCTGCTAATATTTCTGTGAAATTTATATATGATTTACAATTTTTCAATGCATGTTATAACCACACATGCCATCATGATCAAACGCGTTGTGAATGGAAGTGCGGTATTAAAAAATAAATAAAATCATTTTATAATGCATAGTGTCTTAGAGCCTATAAGAAGTAAAATTGTTTTCGTTATATAAATGTACGTTATATTTGTTAGTATCATATTTTCGTTAAAAATGTGACATAATATTTTCTGTGTTAAAAAAAAAGCTGTGAATCGTATATTTCAAACAGTTTTTTTGTTTTATTCTGGTAGTTTTTCACAACTTTTTGAGAAGTTTTGAAATATACCTACCTAAATAGCTAATTTTATTCAATTTTATAAGCTATATAGTATATACTCTGTTTATACCATGAAAATGTGGTCATTGCGCACATACAACTGGGGTGTAAGACTTATTTTTGGTTTGTGCGCAACCATATTATCTCGGTGAATGGTGTATACAAATGAAACCCATTGAGTGTATCTACTGAAAACCAATAAAATGTGCCATAAATAGAATATTTTATTCCGATGACTGACAGTATGAAACATTATTTCAGTATAGCATTGCACCTAAGAAATTAGTAGTACAAACATGTCCAAACTGTTGAGTTGGAAATAGAATGAAAAATTGACAACCATTGCACACATTACTTTCTACATATTATATTATGTTAATATAATATAAATAATAATAATATATAATATATTTTCCGATTACCTAARCAARTATTTTCACTACATATACACATCGAAACTTAAACTTTTAAATCTTGATACCTACATAATCTTTGGTTTTTATTGTTAAGTTGGGATAAGTTAAAAGATAATTGCTTCCTATAGCTCTTGGGCTATACAGTATCCATACKATCCCCATGACTTGAACTGTAGACACGCTTATAAAAAATATTGATAATTTGTTTTAAAAAATGTAAAATAGGTACTTTATGCACTCGACTGTTTAAGTATTATATATTGTTGTTTAGTATTACGGTTGCAATAAATTGCTTTTCAAGCACGTTCATATTTTTTTTTATTGAATACTTAATTATTTTTAATGTCAATAAACTAAACGAGTTTCGGTTAAGTATATTAAACTATAAATCGAGTGATTATTTTTGTACATTAATGTAGTGTTATAGTTTTATTTGTTATTACAATAATACAATAACAYAGTAATTGTTTTATGCAAAATATCTCCTCTTCCAAAATAAATAATAATGTATTCAAGTATTTTATAAACGGGCTTGAATATTTTCTCTTGAAAGCTGTTTTCGTTACACGATTTTTAAAATTACCTCCACTTCAAACGTTTTAGGYGTATCAGTTATTAATTGATATCGTTAAAAAAACCACGATATTTTCAGTAAAGAAAAAAAATGCTATTTAGTTTTTATTTCACAGAGTATTATAGATTGCCATTAGATTTAAACCACTAGAATGTATAATAWTATTAATCGAGGTTATTACTTTTTTTTTCAAAAACGACTTGCTATAAAAAAAAGATATTCAAACATTATGTTGATTTGAATGACAACGAAAATTATACATTGTTTACGWACCTATTATACATTATTATGATGCRTAGTTTGGGTTTTTATGAGAGGCACTAGTTTATTTAATAATTATTGCTGTCACATAAAATTGTGTTCCTTTAGAATGATGATCGATTTATAATTATAACGGCGATATGTAGACTATACAAGATGAGATAAATCGAAACGTTTTCCCGCGGTGTTTCATAATATTGTTATACGGGCACTTATAGTAATATTACGCATGCATCTGTATAAAAGTTGGTYTGCAAAACTCACCATTATAAGCATTAGCGTTGAACATTTGCACAGTTTCTGTATGCCCGGGTATGTTGTCAGATTTCCATAACACCCGGACAATCTGATAGTAGGCAACCGACATGAGCAATAGGGGCAGGATGTAAAGCACGATGGTCTTGGCGATCTGGTAGATAGTCTCAGACTCTTGGCTCCATAGAGCTTCGCACTGAGTCAGATAGATGGAMGAAAAACGTTTTGTCTTTTCGATTGCTTCCAACACCAAAAGCTCTGGAATGTCTGCGAGAAAAGCCAAGATTAAAACGATCGTAATTTATTTTTATTATATTGTTGTATTATTATAATATACATGTTTTAACACTATACGTTACATAATATATTTAATAATTATTATAATCCATGATAAYATAATAAATCATTAATATGTATAACTATAGTATTATTAAGGCACCTACCAATGCACTAATATAATAAATATATATAATTAAAGAAAGTTTGATAAAAATTATTTTGTAACATTAAAAAAAAATAATATTTTTTGCAAAAAGAAAAACATTTTTATAAATGAAAATCTATATATTACATCTGTGTAAATAATGAATGTTAAACATAAAGATTAACATCCTAATATTTGGATTTATCAAATTTATTCCATAAAAATAAGACCACAATATACAAAATATAATAATACAAAATTGCATTATTTTTGCAAGTATCTAGTGTTACAGAATTAGCTAGGTAACTACTTMAATAAGTATAAAAACTAATGATATACTGGAATAATAAGTTTGATGAGCAAAAAAAAATCTTTCTATGCTGAGAGTATTAATTATAAACAATGACGAGCGTAATTTTTAATGTTCCAATATATAATACTGTACATTTTTAGGTTCGTTCTCACGCTATATTTCAACTACATGKGCCCATTAGTCATTTGGTATTAATAAATGTACATAATTAAGGTGGTTACTGGTTAAAATTTGATCCTATAAAAGTAAAATATAATATTATACCATACATATATATCTATATAATTTTATTTTTGTTATAATATATCCAATACCAGAAAAAAATGAATACGTGATATAATAACAGCATAAATAATTTGTTTATAGTAAGAAATATTATATTATAAATGCTATTTGGTTTGCTTCCTAATTATATTTAAACAGAAAAAATTAAATTAGTCACACTTAATGTGGGTATAAGGTTTTAAAATAAAAAAAAATATTTTTTTGCGTCCGTAATTCAGGGTTTGACCAAATACAATTACTGAATACAAATTAATTTGGTATAWTAAAGTGTTTTTTGAATAGTTTCTATAAATATCTGTTAGTGGATTTAGTGGACATGCCTTAGGATTTTCAAACTTATATTACTCTGTCRCCTATAAATGTTGGACCACTACATCCTATTCACAATTTGGTATTTGAATACACCGGCATGAAAATGTCCAATTGGGTATTAATATTAAAATAAACACTAATATTCTTCTGTAATGTAAAACGTGTTTAATATAATTGGGTTTACGGTATTTTTTTATTAGTTTATATTGAAAATATACAGTAAATACCATAAAATACGTATTAATATGTATATGTGCATACGCCTACAGTACAAAAATTAATATTTTAATAAAAATATCAAGGTACTCATGGATTTGGAACTTTGAAAGTTACCTAATGGTACTATTCACCAAAAACGTTAACGTGATTATCATTTCACGAGTTATAAATTATTATCGAACATTCATAATTTTACGCTTGCAATTTATATAACATCATACCTTGTAAATATCACAAATTTATTTCACGAACCAGTATAATTTAATACTACTATATCTACTATATTATGTCAAATAGTATTATAGACGTATAGTCATAAATATTATATACTATATATGTTATATATTTAAACAGAAATTTAGATATTGAATACCTAATTTATATATATCAGTAATATTTTTAGATTTTAACTGTGGTAATACAAATAGATTTATTAATTAAAATAAAATTCAATAAATATCCTTCAAATTATAAAGTGAATGATTTTTATTACGTTTTATTAACATAAGCAAATAATCTTATCATAGATATATTGTTTTGTTATAAAAGATTTCTTTCCAAATGTTTTTTTTTTCTAAGCATGATGATGTTGATAATTTATTAACTTATCGTTCACATGTATGTTATATACTTATACAGTAATCCTCTACCCATATAATTTGTTATYCCTTTTCAGGTTTAAGCCATTATGTAAATATTTTCTATCACTATTAGTCACTAAAACTAACATTTTTTCCAACGAAAAATATTTATATTATGTTTAATTTGTCATTGTGTTATTATAAAAATCATAATATATTGTATTTACTTATAAAATTATGATTCATAATGCACAGAACTTGTTTATTTATTTAATATGATATAATAATATAATGAGCGATAACATAAATCTAATATTTATCAAATAAAAGTTAATTTTTAAAATATGCAGCGTATAACGGATTAATAAATGTAGTAATAACAATCAATAATATTGCCCAATATACGTATATATTAATATATATATATACATTATATATATTAATATATATTATTAATACGTATATTGTATTGTCAATTATATCATTAAATATAGCAGCAAAATGGTGGATAAAAACATTTAGTAATATAAGACAGTAACAGAGTAACAGATAAGTATTATTCATCTAATAATATGTATAGACAATAATTTCCATAAAGAGATTGCAAATAATTTTGATTTGGWTAAATATGATATTGTGTTAGTAGTAAAAATTACGTTACTCATGCAGTAAAGTKACTCGCATAAATTACATGTTTAAATGGTCTTGTATTTATTATCTATTATAGGTATGTTCGGTGCTAAGAATATTATTCCATTACCACTGCATAAAAAATTGTTCAACCGTGATATGGGAGAAAACATTAAAACAGGAGTGACAAAATGCCTTGTTGTCGTATTTATGATAATATGAATATACTGATTAATATTTATGTAGGTACTATTCTGCAATGTTCAACAAACACTTTTGATAGTTTTATTTTGTTAAATTCTGATATATTTCTTAAGAATATCTTATCTAATTAATTTGATTGTATTATTCGTATACCGATAAGTTTACGAGCTTAGACTTATCTTTTCAGCATATCAYTTCTGCCCACTGTTCGTAGTAATCGTTAATACAGCGGTGCAAGTTTTGTCAAACTCTTGTGATTGTTGTGAATAATGATGTGCAGGTACAGTCAAAACAATTGTAGGTACCCTACATTTCATTTGAGAACTTCACTGGGTAAATCAATTATACAAATAACTTACGTAYAAACGAGAACACATAAAATACATTTTATTACGTAATTCACGTTATCTTTAAGTTATTATTTATTTAATGTTATATATTATTGTACTCAATTTGAAAATATATGACGTGCACCAGCATCATGGATTATGACTGTATAACAAGTATTAATAATATAAATAATAAATATTAAGACGTATTATCAATAATATCATACGTACACAAAAACACTCACGCAAATCGTTCAAACGAATTTGAACATTCAATCATCTGAAACGTAATTAATTTGACAGATTATAAGGAGCGTGCGCTATTGCATGTAGATAGTCCAACAATATTAGTGTAAGATTTATTATAACACATGGTTCGGCAATTYATTTATATGACAATGTCTGAAGGTAGGCACGTAATATAAATATGGTGGATTAATATTACGAGGACGAAGTTTGTTTCTTTGAAATCATATTATTTTATGGATAGCTGACCGATCGAAACCCGTATGGTTATAATATTATAACCGACAGCTCTGTATAATAGTATAATAGGTAGGTACGCATATTATATAGATCTAAGAATGCATTAAGTATCACGTTATTATATAATAATCCAATATTAAAATATTAATTTTATGATATTCCAATTCGTATAATTTTGGACATCTTTTAATGCAGACTGAAAACATTAAATTCAAAATTAAGAAAGTAAYCAGGAGTACAAAATTTGTAAAAATAATCATTGTAATTGTGTTTATAAGTAATTTATTTAATTTTTT